AAAACGGCTTGCTCTGAAAAGAGCTGTTTTTGACAGGGTAAAAAATGTGTTTTTTACACTACCATTGAGAAATTTTAACCAAACTATGTTACAGACTTTTCATTAAGACCCTAAAGAATCATATCAACTTGTGGAAAATGGGCATCCGATGACCCCTTTAAAGCTAATTTAATCCATGGACAATAAAATGGCATTTGACGAATTTCATCCCTGAATTGTTCCATAGAAATTCATTGTTTGTGAAGATTTGCTCCGTGTAAATGTGTGTGTGTGTTTCTGGCAGCATGTTTACAGTCAGCAGGAGGTGCGAGAGCTTCTGGGCCGTCTGGATCTCGGCAATCGCACTAAGATCGGGCAGAAGGGATCCTCCGGTCTTTCCAGAGCCGTTTCTGCCTACGGCATTGTGGGTAAGAGCCTTTTCCCTTGATTGCTCAAAGTTTCATTTCATTTACTTCTGTAAATACTACTGCTTGTTTTAGCTCAGGAGCCTCAGTGAGCGACTCGTTTGAGTACACTAGCACACAAAACGGACGCATGACGGTCAGGTGCGTTAGTAAAGTGAGAAAACAGAAACTCTTCAGCTTAACGTGAGTCTTTACCCAGTCTGTGCATCTGCAATGTGTTATTACTGGTCAGTGGTACTTTAGTATTATTTATATAATATTATGGTATTTTTAATATATTGAATTTGCTTCTGTTTTTATTTTTTCGTTTTAATTTTAGTTTAAGTTTGAATAATTTTGTTATGTGCTTTTGTCTTTTTTGAAAAAATATTTCTATTTAGCTTTAATTGAATATTCAGTTTTTGTTTTAGTAATTTTATGTGCTTTTGTCATTTTTATTTTTTTAAATAGTTTTAGTAATTTTGTGTTTTTGTCATTTTTATTAGATTTTTTTTAAATATTCCTACTTAGCTTTAATTGATTATTCAGTTTTTGTTTGAGTAATTTTATGTGCTTTTGTCATTTTTATTAGTTTTTTTTTAATATTTGTAATAAATGTAATAAATTACATTTATTTTAGTTTTGTCATGTTATTTGCTTTTGTCATTTTTATTAGATTTAGTTTATTTTTTATTTTTTTACATATTTCTATTTGGCTTTACTATTTATTTTTTTGTTTTTTTTTATATATATCTTTTTAGCTTTAATTTCTATTTATTTCAGGTTTAGTTTTAGTAATTTGTTATTCTTTTATCATTTTTATTTTTTTAAATAGTTTTAGTAATTTTGTGTTTTTGTCATTTTTAGTAGTTTTTTTAATATTTCTGTTTAGCTTTATTTTAGTTTTGTCATGTAATGCGCTTTTGTCATTTTTAAGTTTTTTTAAATATATCTATGTAGCTTTAATTTCTATTTATTTCTGTTTTAGTTGTATTAATTTGTTATACCTTTGTAATTTTTATTAGTTCTTAAAATAGTTTGTTTTAAATAGTTTATTTTGTTATGTCTTTTTGTGATTTTTAGTAGTTTGTTAATATTTCTATCTAGCTTTAATTTATATTTATAACCTTAATTAATTTATTTCAGTTTTAGTAATTTTAGTAATTCAATTTAACTTATTTCAGTAAGTTTCCAAAGTAACTTATAATTTTTTTCATCTATCATCTAATATTTATGTTTTGCATTCATTCATGCATTTGGCAGATGCTTTTATCCAGAGTGACTCTAAATGCATTCAAGCTATACATTTGAGCACTTCCTGGGAATCAAACCCATGACTTAGGCATTGCAAGTGCAACACATTACTGTTTATGTAATGTTTATTTAGTTTCAGCTGTATTTCAATTAACGAAATCGATTTGAAGAGTTTTAGTTAACAATAACAGCACTACTTCTGCTGACACACATCTGGCCAAATCTCACTTTTAGTTGTGTTAGTCATCGAAATTGTGTCTTATACAACCTCCATTCGCCTCAAATCACCTTCTGCTGAGGGAGCGGGTGTCGTGGAAGTAATAAGAAGTGCGAATTTAGTGCACAAACAAGTAGATCAGAACATTGATGTGTGTGTGTGGCACGCGTTTATGACACACCTGATAGATTCATGACAAACACGGCATGTTATTGTTGATTCGGCGGTTGATTATACCCTCAAGTCTCATCATTAGAGTGATGTGTTCGCCTCTGAATGCACATTAAACATGAAAGAAATGGAAATGTTATTTGATGCACAGTTAAAGCAATGGTTCACTCAAAACTGAACATTTACTGAAAATATCCTCACTCTCAGAGCATCCGAGATTAGGAGGAGTTTGTTTCTTCATCAAATGCTACATTTCTCCAAATCTGATGAAGAAACAAAGTAATTTTTTAAAAATACATTTTTATTAATATTTTGAATCAGTTTTTATTTATATATTTTCTGTTTTAATTTTAATTTTAGTTAGTTGTAGTAATTTTGTTGTTTTACATCAACCAAAATTTAAGATTTATGTATTTGAATTGCATATAAAATTCCATCCACTTATAATCATGCAGTTTTAACATAAACTAATAAACTTAATATGATGCATTTTTGTCAGTCATGCATAAATGAAACGGGTCAGATTTCTGCACTCAAAAAATTATAGTTTATTATGTATATGTAGCAATTTAATTTTATTTATACCATCATATTTTCAAAATGCATTTATTTAAATCGCTTAGAATCAGCTAAAATCTGTTAATTGTGAAAACAATAAAATTTATTCTGTTGAAAAGTATGAACATGGTTAAATATGGCTAGCTGTGAATAATTAATTAGTTAAAATGTATGACTGAAACAAATTGGATTTATTGATAATACAAATATAAAACCTGATATTCAGTTTATTAGTAATATTACAGAAATCTGATCTGTTGATATACCAAATGTGCATCAGATAAAGTTTATTAGTTTATGATAAAACTAATTCAAACAGGTGGAAATTGTATATGCAATTCAAATAAATAAATCGTATTTATTTTCTCACTTTTCCTATATTTTCGCTTTCTCTCGCAGCCGTGGAAGCCGATGGCGCAAAACCGTAAACTAACTAAAGTATTGTATGTTAACTAATGAGAACTTACTGTAAAGTGTAAAAACCCAGCATGATTTTCTCTGCTCTCTCGTGTCTTTCAGGTTTCGTGCAGTTTCTGGAGGGTTACTATATCGTGTTGATCACTAAACGCCGCAGGATGGCGGATATCGGCGGCCACTCGATTTATAAGATTGAAGACACGAATATGATCTACATTCCCAATGACTCTGTGAGAGTCACACACCCTGATGAGGCCCGGTGAGAGACTTTTATGCATATTTGATAATTATATGTTGTTATTTTACTGCTGGCCAGTTCTACAGAGAGTGACCAATAAGATCACTCGGATTTGGTCACATGATCCTGTTCAGACTGGATTGCTAGTGTGCTGCTGCTTACTACAGTGCATACTAGATTAAATATACTGTATGCTGTTTATATTAACCCTACTGAATCATACATGACATTTGAATTTCTAGGCCCTCTAAATGATTAGAACCTGAAAAGTCTGAAGAGTTTTTTCTCCAGTCAAAGCTCTTTAGTGTAATTGTACTCGAGCTTCTCGTGTCAAATCTTGACTGATTTTGATCAAGTAAAGGTCAGAATAACTGCAGTAATATCTCCAGATGAACTCTTACTGGACTGAAGCAGCTCAGCTTTACTTGATTCTCCATCAATCATGTTTTAGAGTCTCAAATCTGATCCTCAGGATCTTTTGAGGAGCGTTTGTTTCCAGAAGCTTTACTTTCACTGTTCCTCAGCGGAGGAATGATCTTCACAAGCCTCCAGAACATCTCACATCTTCTGAGGAGCCTTTATTTCTTCAGCTCTCAATCACTGCATTATATGTTTGGAGCATTTCAATCTCATCTTATTACTCGAGATATAGAGCGACGACTGATATTTATAGCATTTTATATAAGCATCTGCTGCAGTGTTATAAAGATCTCACTGATTTACATCACAAGCAGCAGAATTTCATCATATAAATATCAGCATCTGTAGCAAACTGCATATTTTTGTATAAAAACTGCTGTTTTTCCATCATATCCTCACTATATCAGATTAAATGAGCCATAAAAGCCTGATGGATCAACAACAACAACACATATCAAACCTTTTTTTTTTTTATTATTTAAAAAATATTTTGTATAAGGTTATAAAAATTATTTCATATGTCAGGCTTTACAGTAAGTGATCTGTAGTGTTTTTATCCAGTTGTAGTATTATTTTGTGTTAAAATAACTTTTAGCAATCAGAATAAATGAGTCTTTTGAGGCTCTTTGCTTACAGGAATCTCACATACAGTGTGTTTTCAGTGTGCATACTGCAGTAGTAGTGATAGTTAGTATGCTAGTGTGCTGTTTCTCTGTTTCTTCAGGTTTTCGTCACAAACCGTGTTAGATATATATGTATACAATTTATAAATATATATTTATACAGAATTAATGTATAAAAGGTTGACAAAAAAATTAGGAAAAATAAATAAATTACTATAATATGGATTGAATTTTTATCTACTTTTGAATAAATTGATAGATCTGGGAAAAATATCATTCATCATTCGCAAAAAATCATTCACCCTTATTGATCTGAGCATATCATCATCATCATTATTATTAATAATAATAATATATATATATATATTTAACCATGAGTTTTCATGTGGTTCTATATTTGATTTATTAATGAGGTCATTACATTATCAAATCACCTCATTAATCTCCCTCATGTTAATTAATTAATTAGCTAATTAATTTCCCTCATGTTGGCTGTACTTTAATCTTCGGTTGCCAAAACTTTCACATTAATACAGTTTGACTTACAAAATAGCAAAGCAAGAAAAAGTTAATTAGTTAGTTAGTTTTGTGATTTCAGCAGGAAAGTCTAAACGTGTTTGCTTCAGAAGTTTGTGTGTCCTGCTGGTGAATAAAGGAAACAAGAAAAGAGCGCTGATAAATTGAACAGGCATCACGTTTATGTTGTACGTGGACGTGGGTCTGTAAACGAGATGACGTCTTGTGGGAAGCTGAAATAATTGCATGTGATCGCTGATGAACTTCAAGTTCATTCCGTGCGCTTCATCGCTTAGCAACATGCTGTCTGTCACCTAGCAACAATGAAAGCTGCTTCCTGCTGCTCAACACAAATGAGCAGTGTTGATCAATCTGAGCGTGACCCTGTGACCCTGTGACCTTTAGTTACAGCTACGACCTGAGCCACTCGCTGCAGTGTAACATGACGCTGCTGCAGATGCCGTGTGACGCCGGAGAGAGCGAGGAGCTCAACACCAGCGGCAGACAGGACAGCTTTGACATCTTCGAGGAGGAGGGACTCCCCACTCCAGGTATTTTATTTTATTTTATTTTATTTTATTTTATTTTATTTTATTGAACAGAAATAACAATTAAATTAAAAACAAAAAAAATAATAATAATAATGTGGCAAAAATTTATATTTATAGCGCTCTTGGTTTTTATTTTGATATTTGTTATTATTTTTATATAATTATTTTGATTATTTTCTTTCTTAATTTATATATTTTATGTGTTTCATAGCATTTTGGGTTTAATTAAAATTGTTATTATTTTCTTTATTTATGTATTTATATTTTATATGTATAGTATAGCACTGTATTTTAAATTTATTTTGTTTTGTTATTTTCTTTCTTATAACAAAATATTTTCTTATATTTTGTTAACATTTTTTTAACTATTTTATTTTATTATTTTTTATATTCTATTTTATTTGATATATTTATATATATATAGCAGTTTTTATTTTATGATTTTATAGTATTTAGTTTTTAAATATTTTATTATTATATTTATATTTTATATCGCCCTTGGGATTTATTTTATATTTTATATTATGTATTTATATTTTAAATATTTAATTTAGAACACTTTTGGGTTTTATTTTCTTATTTTTCTTATTTTATATACTCATATTTTATAACACACTTTTAATTATTTATTTTATATAATTTTATATTATTATGTTATTATTGTTATTTTATTTTTTATTAGTTTTTCAAGGTCTCAACTCTGGCATTTTTGGGCCTTTTTTGTTTCTTTTCTTGTTTTAAAGAACTGCCTTGTTTCCAGTTATTTTATGTTGTGTGTGAATTATTAATTGGGGTGTTTGTGTTTCAGTTGTCCACGGTTTGATTAATGAACCCTACGCTAAGTATGTGTGGAATGCCCGTCTGCTGGAGAAAGTCAAGGACATCGTCCATCCTGATTGGCTGCTCTACATCATTCACGGCTTCTGCGGCCAATCCAGTATCCTCTTATGTTACATTGTATAGATAATATTCAGTTGTTGTGTCCGCTGTCTCAGATTCGTCTCCGTGACCGTCTGTAGTGCATACGGATGTTTTCATGACCCTGCTTCATATAGATAAGCGTCTCTGACCCCAGAGTCAGACAAAACAAAGTCTGCGGCCGTTTCACACTGATACGTGTGTGTTTGTGTGTGTGTGTGGGATACAACAATAGAAACAGCATCCATGAACTGAATGTAACAGCAATATTCACGCACAGTGTAGTCAGCGTTCTCGATTTATCCTGGGAGTGATCTAGTTTTACAGTTGCTTTCCACATATGCTGCAAAAATACAGCTAAAACCTACTTATTTTTCTAATTTTTTCATGTACATTTCTGCAAAATGCTATTGAAACCGATTTGTTTTTTTATTTATTTATTTATTTCGTTTTGTACCCTTCTGCAAAATAGTTTTATTTTATTTTATAAAATAAAATTATTTTAAAAAAAAATTTTTTTTTGTGCCCTTCTCCTAAATAATATTTTTATGTACTCTTCTGTAAAATACAATTTTACAAAAATTACTTATTTTATTATTTTTGTTTTAATTTGTAACCTACTGAAAAATACAGTTAAAACCAGCAATTTTATTATTTTTCATTAATTTAATTTTGTATTTTTTTTTATTTACCCTTCTGCAAAATACAAAAAGAAATCTACTTATTTATTTAATTTTACATAATTTGTTTTTTGTTTTGCACCCTTAGCTAAATACATTAATCACTATTTTAAATAAATAAAATAAATAGATTATTTGTTTTTACAATTATTAATACATATTTAAAACCTATTATTTTATTTTATATTTTATTTTATCCTGTAAAATGCAGCTAAAACCCACTTCTGATAGTATTGCATGGCTTCTAGCTGGTTGGGTTAGAGCAGTGGTCGCCAACCCGTGGATCGCGATCGACTGGTAGATCTTTATCACTGTCCCAGTAGATCCCGAAAATAACAGTAAAATAAGTACAAAAATGCATTACATTTCTGGGGTTATATTAATGTATCACTGAAGGGAACTGTCTTGAGAAAAGTTACGATGGCAATGGCATTTTCTTCTCCGTATAAAGCGCAGCTCTGCTTTGTTTACAGCGGTAAACAAGGAAACGCTATAGTGCGGTCGGTTCATAAGCAGTGTTGCCAAGTCCGCAGGAAAGGCTACTTTAACACTGTTGCCGCGGGTTGTTGTTCATGTCCGCGGGTTGAAGCGACCCCAATAACGTGATATTTAGTCCCTGGAATGTGAATTTTACTCGAAACGCGATTGGACTAGTTTTATTGCGAAAACCTGGCAACCCTGTTCATAGGCGCTACCTGCTGTCAGAGAGTGCGTCTCATTCAGACCTGCTGTTTTTGTTTCGTGCAGATGTTTTATGTAGCAAATAAATAAATGACACCTAAAGTCAGACCATTCTGTTTTTGTTTTAAATCCTGAAATTAATCTAAATCAAATCAAAAACAACTGCCCGAGCCCGTGCAGAAAATGCAGTGGTTGCCTCTAATTTCAAATGGCTAGATATTTGTGTTTAAAGCCAGTTTGGCCAGTTTGTAGCAAATAGCCAATAAATAAATTTGCTTAAAAATCAGTATCAGAATCCAATTTGCTAGTTAAAAAAAAAGAAAGAAAAGAAAATCTGAATTCTGAATCAGCTATGATCGGCGCATCACTAATTAAAATACTAAGTAAAAGGCCTCAAATTTGAAGCACAATCTGGGATGTCTTTTTCTATCAATTCTTCAATAGGTAGATCTTGTCTTTCATAAAGGCCGAGGTCAGGGATCTTGGGCCTAAAAAGGTTGGTGACCACTGAT